AAAAAAAAAAAAAAGACATCTAGCTTCTTAACTGGCAAAGGGCAAGGCATCCTAAGTTCCAATAGGAAAAATCTTTGTGATATGTGTCATTGCATTGCAAAAGGAGCAACTCTTGTTAGGTGCCCAGAAGACAACTCTATGGATCAAAACGTGGGCTGTTTCTGCACCATTTTCACAATACTTGTTGTCTGGCCTTTCCAAACATGATGTCCTTTTTCAAGGACTGGTCCCTCATGATAGGAGAACCTGGTGGTTAAACTCTGAGACTTGCAAATGCAATTTGGACTGGAATCCTCTAATTCCTGGCAAAGACTTCACCTTCTAAAGGAATACAATCCCTCCCCTAGGGTCCCGATGAGTCGTGCTATTGGGAAGCGTGGAACATTCATTTACAGGCCAACAGTAACAATTCTCATGAAACTTTTTTTTGTTACTCCCCACCCCCTACTGTTCTCTGGAAGCAGATCCAATATCTTGGGCACCAAATTCACCATCTTTGACAATGGGGTCAACCCTGATCGGAAGAATTTTGTCTCCCAGAAGTCCCGGATCAGGGAGGAGCTGGGGGCTGTCTGCTATGTGAGTGTCCAGGGAGGAGAGAAAGAAGCAAGGGTGGTGGGGAGGGAAGAGGAACCAAGCCAAGTGTCCACAATATATCACCAGGAGACCAACATTTTGGGATTCCGGGGACCTCGAAAAATGACTATCATCATCCCAGGATTTGACGCCCAGAACCGGAGAATCCGGATCCAGCCACAAAATGTGAGTCCCTCAGTTTCTAAGAAAGCAGGCGGTAAGGCAGAAGTCGAAGTGAATCTGGAAGCAGAAAGTAGAACCCAAACCGCCGCCCCCCCCCTCCAACCACGCTCCCTGCATTATCTTCTAGGAACAAGAATCTTTACTGAACCGCTACCAGCATGGGGCCAGCCAAGGGCTGATCCGACTGCATAATAAACCCCCATCTTGGAGCGACGAGAGTGGAGCCTATGTTCTCAATTTCCATGGTCGCGTCACTCAGGCCTCGGTCAAGAACTTCCAGATCGTGCTTCCAGAAGGCTGTGAGCGCCTAGCCCGGAGGCGGACTTAGTTGGGCAAGGGAATGGGAGAGAACTACATCTCCCATCAGGACGTGGGCATTTTCCCCAGGCAGGACAAGCACAGCCTATCGCACAGGCTTCTGGGAATTGTAGTTTACTCTGCCCACAGTGGTAGGCTTAGTCAGGCCACAGGGCCTCCTGGGATTCGTAGTTCTTGGGGTTCAGGAGGTACAGGGACCGGAGTGACTAATTACTCATTCTTTCCGACCCTCCCCCCCCCCCCCCGCAGCGGACTACTTGGTTCTTCAGTTTGGCCGCGTGGCCACAGACACGTTCACCATGGATTTCCGTTTCCCGCTTTGCCCACTCCAAGCCTTTGCCATCTGCTTGTCTAGCTTTGATGGGAAGCTGGCGTGTGAGTAGCAGATTAAATCCTAAATGATTATCTTAGCAAAATAAATGCTAAATCCTTCATCAGCTTCTGTGCCTAACTTGCAGAAATGGCCCCAAACAAACCTCATTTTATACCCCTTTAATGGTAACCAATATGCCTTAGATATGACTCGGAGCTGGTCTTGTGCTGTCCCTAGTGGGCCATGCAGCCTCACCTGCCCCCGGTAGATAGGCTGACAGGCATGGATACGAACACCAAACTCTCACCTGCTGTGCACATCCAGCCACAAGTTGACCAGATCATAGCAGGACCTGGGGAAAAATAGTGACTCTCATACTGAAGCCCTCCTGGGTATTATAAACATGTAACATGTTCAACTACTAACAGGAAGGTTAATGATTCAAGTTCACCGTGAAGTGCCTCGGAAGACAGGCCTAGTTATGTGCGGTCTGAAAACAGCCTTGGGAGTGGAAGGGATAGTATGACAGGTCGGGTGATCAAGGAAAATGACCATGAGATGGAAGTGTTGCACAATTAGCTACTGAGGTCGCCGACTGCCTGCAGTGGACAATGTCCCCTACCCCTAAACCCGCGGGAAAGTGAAAAAGGCAAGGGGATCCCTAACCCTTCAAGGGTAAGAAAGCAGTGGGGAGTCTGGGTCACAAAACTACCAAGGAGAGCAGCAGTTTGGGGTTCTTAAAACTGCATGTTGCACTGCAATCCCAGAAGTACGCGGTTCGAATCCACCAGATGCTTTGCTGGAGGAAGGGCAATCTCCTTCTGTACCAGTCGGATCCAATTTGACGACACACACACCCCCACACCCACACCCACAAAATTTAAAACAACAAAAAGCCCAAAACTGCATGTTGGGGGGTGTGGGGAAGTTTTGAGGAAAAGGCATCTTTCTGGGAAAAGTCAGAGGAAGAACATCAACAAGATGTGTTTACACAGGGAGGGTACAACAGGTTGGAGCACATCAGAAATGGAGAGGTAGGTTCAGGTGTGTTAGTTCACTGGCTCACGACCAAGACCCATGACGTTTCCACTGAACTTTCAGACTGAATATAGAGTAAGCGGCAGCAGCGCCTTGCAGATCTCCTGAAAACCAGCCAAGGAAACCCCGTGGGTCACAGCAGAGTACATCACAAAATATACTAATCGCCTTTGAGGGACTCACAAATCCCCTAACAAATTCATGATACCCGGAGTTGGGATAGTCAATTCAAGACACACTGTGATGTTAATTCTTTAGAAATCAAACGGCTTTATTATGTATACAAACTAACCCTTACAAAAAATAAATAAATAGTTCACAAATCAAACGGCCTTAGCCACGCTTCCCCTGAAGGTCAGACAAGGGGAGGGGACACACTGAGAGGGGCGGGAGAGTGTGTGGCCATGGCGGGGCTCAGGCACGCGGCCGGGGGCGTGGCGTGGGCAGGGGCAGGTGTGGGGTCCAGTGACAGGGATGGGTTCCCCAGGCGGGCCCAGGCCCTGGCCCGGGCGGCAGGGGTGAGGCAGGGGCCCAGCTCCTCCTGGGCGCAGGCGATGCGGCGGGCAAAGCGGCAGCGATCCCGGGCCAGCTGTTCCCAGGGGCCCCGACGGGCAGCCTGCGCCGGTCCAGCCCAGACAGCCAGGCGGTGGACAGTGACCTCCTCGCAGAAGCGTACCTGGTGGTCCGATGGGCAAAGTCACGCAGAGTCACGGAGAACACACACAGCCGCATCAAGAGAGAGAGACAGACAGACAGACAGACAAACAGAACCAAATAGAAATAAGTAAGTCCCACAGCAGAGCTCTCCGGCTCATCAGCCGCCTGTCACGTGACTTCCCAGCTGAATCACTTGATGACAGGTGGCTCCCACGAGTTCCCATGACTCACAGTTGCTCCCTCCTCCCCCTGGGAAACCCCAGCTTCTTGCAAAGGATTGCGTGACAGCTAACAAATTTCTCCCCAGAGCTCACGTGCAATACCCTGCAACACCCTGGGGGGACCCCTAACAGCCCTGGAATTATCTACACCCCTCGAACCTCAGATGGGGGGGCCCTCATTACGCACCTTTGTGATCTTTACAGGAGAGTCGGGATCTGGCGGCCGGGAAGGGGTGCCTGAGGACTTGAGGCGCCTCTGCAGCCGGAGAGGCAGCCTTGGGGGCGCCCAGGGAGGGGGCGGGTCCTCGCCAGGTGCATAGATGGCCAGGCGGAATGTGCAAGGTGCAGCATCACCCCACTCCTTGGGGGCGCCTCCAGCTTGGTAGGTCCAAGTGCTGAGGAGGGCGCTTTGGGGCCCTGAGTCGGCTGCTCCTGACTTATCTCCACCCTCATTCTCCTCCTCTGAGTCTTCACCTGGCCGATATGCCCAGGCCTGCAGGAAGGTGGATGGGAGCGTGGGGGAACCCTCGGCTTCTTCCTGCTCCTTGGCTGCTTCCCAATCACTGTCCTCATCTTCCTCTTCCTCCTCTGAGTCTTCACCTGGTCGATACACCCAGGCCTGCAGGAGGGCACTGGTGGATGGGATGGAAGAGGGACCACCAGCTTCTCCCTCCTCCTCGGATGCTCCCCAATCACTGTCCTCGTCCTCCTCCTCCTCCTCCTCCTCCTCCTCCTCATCCTTTCCACGTGGCTGATACACCCAGGCCTGCTCGAAGGAATTTGAAGAGGCAGAGGAAAGGCCTTCACCGTCTCCTTCATCACTGTCTTCCTCCTCCTCAGCTGCTCCACAATCAATGTGGCCATCATCTTCCTCCTCCTTTGAGTCCTCTCCGGGTAGACACACCCAGGCTTTCAAAGCACTGGTAGATGGGAGGGAGGAAGGACCCTCTGCCTCTTCCTCACTGTCCTCTTCCTCAGCTGCTCCTGAAGTCCCAGCCTTCCCCTCCCAGGCCAGAGGCTTCTGGCTAAGCTTGGCTGAGAGTGCTTCTAACTCACAGTTCTCAGCTGCCTCCTTTGGACAATCTTCCCAGACACTGGGGCCAGAGCCCAAACGTGAGGGGGACACGGCTGTCTTCCTGGCATCACTATTCTCTGCTCTTCTTTCTCTCTCCATGGCTCCATGTTCCTGATCTTTCTTCTCCTCTCCCTCCCCTGGACAACACTGCCAAGCTCTGGGCCTGGAGCCTGGGGCTTCTCCACTTTCGGCCTCCTCTTCCCTTGGAGGGACTGGCGGGGTTCTTATCAGAAGGCAAGGAGGCAGGGGGGAGGGCTGGCCAACTCCAGGTTCACCTCCCTGCTCTCCAGCCACATCAGCTGCTCCGTTCTCTTCACAGTCTTCATCATCATCACGAGAAGAATGGATGGCTCTGAGGCCAAGGCATGTGGCCCTGTCTGCTTCTCCAGCCTCCTCAGCTGCTCCACTCTCCCAGGCAACATTGTGGAAAGCCAGAGAAACCTTGACATCTTCCTCTAAAGCAGCTTCTCCTGTTACCACTTCCACCACCCAGGGCTCAGGAAGTCCTGGGCCCCTCAGGCGACTCCATGCCCGACTGAGGAGACCCATCAGTGGGGACAGGAGGAAGAAAGAATGGGAATTCCTCCAGGGGGTGGTCGGTGGGGACACTTGACCCGGAGCCATCTGTCTGGGCTAGGGAAAAAAGGGAAAGAAAAAAAAAACAACATTAAAAATACAGGAGTCAGTTTTTGGGGTGGTGGCATCAGGTCATGATTCTGATTCACAGCAGCAGAAATAACACCATGAACAGCAACCACGAGAATGAGACACACCCACGCACACTCACACCTCAAATTCCTTTCTGATCATGGTCACACCACCTCTGACCTTCTTCCTTAACATCAAGCCTGGATCCAGGCTCCTTTCTTAGATCCAAGAGTTTAAGTCACCAGGCTTCTTCCTCAAACTTGGGGAGGATCAATAAAGAGATTCTTCTCCCAGCTTTCCTCTGGGAAGAAGTCCCAGTCCCTGGTTCTAGGCTCTCATCTCCCGACAATCCGACAATCTCCGACAATCCACCCTAAATGCTTCCTTCTTTTGGGACCCTAAAGCCCATCTTCCTTACGATGGAACTGAAAAATCATTTTTGGATTTCTGATGGGTAGACCTGGAAAGTTGGGGACAATTTTTCCTTATCAAGAACTGAAACTTTTCTTTCTTTCGCTCCCTTGATTTTCACTTAGGGAGCTCTGGTGGCCCAGGCCCTGGGGAGTTGTGATACTAACCCTCTGTCTCTCTGAGGGCTGAAACCCACCCCCTGACTGACTCCCTGAGAGAAAAAGATGGGTGAGATTTCCCCGCAGTGCGGTTCACAGCCTTGGAAACACAATGGTGGGTCAGGGAGGGGTTAGTTTCAACTTGGTGACAATAAGGTTGTTCTTTTTTTTTCATCACCCTCCCCCACGGTCCCTTCAATGGAGATACATTAGGACTCCAGGCTAATTCTTTCCAAGTCTCAAATCCAGGCCCCCAGCCTAGCCTTCTCCAGAAACCTAGAGTCCCAACTGCCTTTCTTCCCCTTCATGAGTGGTACTACTATGTGGCTGTGGACAATATCAGAGGTGGTGACA